TTGGTACTTTTTATGTACACACTTCCGATAATCCGAGAAAAAAAGATTATAAACAAAAATTAGGCAGTACTCAATCTGCAATAAATTGCAATAATAAAGATTGCCAAAACACTTTTTCTTCAATCAAAAATCAGGGTCAGCTTCACTTTTTTAAATGGCATCATATAACTTTTTTATGCAGTATTGTAGGTGGCATCAAGACAAATTCAGCGGTATCAAATAATTACTATACAAAATCATTCTTAAACGCAATAACGTGTAAGTCAAACAGTAACGTAACGAAAAAATAATCATTCTGAATATTAACAGTAAGCAAACTTGTCATAGATTCGACCTCTTGTCTATGGTACGTAATCCTATTATTACTGAACACGTAACAAGTGTCCGAATTGTATGTCGCCTTCAGCAACACAACTGTCTGCTCCCTTATATTTCAATGGGTAGAAGCTAGTAAACTTCGTGAACCCACGGTTCTACATATACACATAGACAATGTACGTATTATTCAATCTCGAAGTTAACCGGTGTTTCATAAAAAATCGATTGTAAATAACATTGAAATTTTAGATAATTACGTTAATGTTTACCTTACGTGTTAATAAGAAACTTTGTTACATTTAAGAATAATTTTCTTTGTAAGTTATTGAAGAAAGGCAATTATATGTGATATAGCTGAATTTATCTCGAAGCTACCTACAATACCGGACAGAAAAAATTATGTGTAACAGTGAACAGTATCATTTAAAAAAGTGAAGGTAACCCTGACCTTTTATTGAAGAAAACGTGCTGTAGCAATTTTTATTATTATAACTTATTACTAATTTTTCTTTGTCAGATTATCGGAAGTGCCTAAAAAATCGCCACGACCATTATAATGACCCTGTATATTATGGACTGCAAATTATGTGCTACAAACTGAGATCATTATACAAATTATTCGTTTTTGATTGAGTTTCTCTTGTAATCAAGAGTTCCATAAATTATAATAATATTGTCGGATTATATTCGAAGTTCATCATTTACTTTGTGTTGCGGCGTTCTTGTAAATTCGTAATAGCCAACAAACGTAGTTATTTATGTAAATGGTTGTAAACCATTATTCTCATTTGATATAATTCAGGCTACAAGTCAGATAATTAAGAAATTTTCGAACATTTGGTCATTTTTGCAAGTCCAGGGGTTTTATGGGTTTGCACCTTTTGAGAATCTTTGTACGGAGCAAGTGGAATTTCCGAGCATAGTACCCGATAGTTCAGTCTCGCATCTGAGAAGATTGTTGGTTAGGAGCGGTCGTATCTTTAGACGAAACATATCCTTCATTAATCAAATATTCGATCGCTTCCCTTCTGAAATAGAAGAATTTTGCAAAATAACCAATTCGCTTGTTTCGCCCCCAGCAAAATCGAGGCAGAGAAAAAAAGACTTCAGTATTCATCGAGCAATCAACCAGCAACAATCTGACTAATCGCTCTCTCAGTGGTGTAGTAAACTATAATCACCATATTTTGTAGTCGTTCCAACGTCGAAGAAAATTTGGAGACAGACACAACGCAACATTTTATTTTCCTTCGAATTCGTTTCAATAAATAACAGCAAGTTTAAAATTTTTCAAAAATTAATCTCATTCTGAATAGAAAATTTTTTCCACATTAGCAAATAGTACGATACTAGGCAATACACGAACCCTACATAAAATTAACTCCAATAAATATATCCTTATTTTGCGGTAACAAAAATTCGAATTTACAGTTATTTAGTTATAAACAATTATATCTTCCATTCAACATTTTCATGTACAAAATAATACATACACATACATATACGTATATGAATAATACCATAACCAATTTTAGGTTTCTAACGTTTTATCTTTCATTTATTGTGTACAGTAACTTGATTCAAAGTATCACTATTACAGGAGAAATAAATTCCTTATGCTTAAAGAAACTTGTGCACTTTCTGTTTTGTTGCTCTGTACTCCCGCAAAGTTTCAGCAAAATCACCATCAAACTCTAGATGGCACGATTGCAGTTTCTACAGTCATCCTGTACACCAATTGCTGCATCAAACCATTCAAATATAAAAGACAATATTCACAATTTACAATGAAAACTAAACAGAAACTTGCACGATCCGCCCAACTTGCGTTACGACCGCGACACGATCCTGTTCCTCAGACGGAATATCGTTTGTACAACTCATGTATAAAAATATGAAATGCTTCGTGTCTCGTTTATTTGACCACACATCAGTTTTACGCCAAATATGAATAGAATTAAGATATTGCGACGTTTCAACAATGACGTTGAAAGCCAATCCCTCAACATTCATTTCACCAATTAAACCTTCCTTTAATACCAAATACTATTTACCCACGGCGAAGATATCTCGATGGGACACAAAATTAAATCGGAGGACATTCAGTTTTGCGGTGGTCTTTGTTGCTGATTCGAAGGTGGCTCAATATCGTTGTACAGTATATCCGCTTGATGTGGACACATTTGAAAAGGCACGAGATCTGGCGGATTGCCATTTTGCTGCGTTGGTCCTTGCTGCTGTTGTTGTTGATGTTGCAAAATTGTACCGACATTCGCTTGTGCTGTGGCCGACACCGATGGTACTGGACTGACCGTTAACGGATGAGAGAACAACTCCGTAGGCACTATAGGCACTGGAACGGTGATTGGCAGAGGAAGAACGTTTACACCTTGTACGCTACTCGATGTTGGTAAATGGACGTTCGAGTTGTTCGTATTGCATCGGTTCATCTGCTGACATGCATTCGTTGTGTTATACGGCATGCCCGCCTGAAGAAATATTCGTGATTGTAAGAAATGTTCCTTTTCATTAGTTTTTTTTAATAATCTCTGGTAAGATTTTTATTTAGAGGATGTGGACATGAAATAATTTCTCGTGTCAAAGTAGATTGAAAAAATTTAATAATTTCTTTGCCGATATTACAAATATCGACGAAACAAAGTGAAATATAATTTTTCTGGAAATACTGAAAATGTTGATAAATTTAAATAAAAAATTGTTACAGTATAAAACTTTAGGAGCCATTAAAGCGCAATAGATTTATATTGATATCTCTGACGTCTTGAAACTCAGAAATCAAACAAAAAAATTGAACAATATTCCAACAAGTAAGTAAAATAAAGTAAAAAAGTAAAATAAAGTAAGTTCCCACAATTATTTTTATTCTTTATCTTATTATGTAATCTAAACAAACAAAATGTAACTAAACATTTACTTGTCTAAAATTTTGTGTGTTCCTATATATTTTTGCGCTTGATTTTGATAGAAATGATTTTTACTACTTGAATAAAAATCATCAGCTTAATATGCTTATGAAAATACTTGCATTCAGCGATAAAATTCCATATCTCGCGATAAATAGTTGTTCCGACACTCTCCTGAGCTCTTCTTGTTGATGCACTATCAGCTGTTGCAATTCTTCATGTTTGCGTTGTAACTCGTCTTGAATTTGATTTTGCGCTGGTGTCATCACGATACCCTGCTGATGTAACATCTAAAAATATGTGCAGGTACTCGTATTAAAGTTTAGAAATATTACACAAGAGTCTAATGTAAAAGTATATTCCAATAAGCATTTGAAACGACGAACTTCTACGTTGAGATATATGTATAAAAATCAAATTAAATTGAACACGTGATATATGAAGCACGAAAAAATGTGATAATATTACAATCTTTTGAAAGTCAGAAATACCGGAAGTAGAAATAAAACACATTCATTATTTTTATGACGTTTGCCATTCTAAAATCTAACTATAGTTTAAGTAGTGGAAAAAAGTTAGTTTTATTATAAAACTGTGTTGATTATTCAATTTGGAAATAAGAGAACAATTATCTAGAATAACAATCCAAAATTTTATCTAAAGTTGTGAAAGAAAACATACCACAAGAAAGAAAATAAAAATGGAACTATACAGTCAAAATATTAATTATTTAATTAATAATTGTAAGTGTGAATAATTAAAAATTTGCTATTACAATATTGAATAAATTAATAGTTATATGGTTATGAATTTGTTGTAATTTAAACATGTAAATATTCTTTTTATCATTCTTTGATGATACATCATTCAAAAATAAATAGTCTACTTAAAAAAATGTTATATAATACATTACTGTAATAGATATAATATTTCAAAGATGTTTCATATCATATTTAACATAAATTAGTTTGTCTATTTTATTAACAAAATTTTAAATATCACATGTTTTCATTGTATGCTAAAATATCACATAGTCAGTCATTGGATTAATAATTTTCTTTAGTACTTATTAATTGGATCTAAATTTACTTTTAAGTCTACATCTTTACAAGTAACGTTTATTACCTCGTGAGTTGGTAATGTAGGAATAATTGGCGCAGTTGGAGCTGCAAAGCGTGTGCTAACTACAGGTTGCAAATTCACCGTTGCGTACTGCGTTTGTTCCATAAAATTAATGCAGTTCTGATCAACCTCTAAGAGAGGTTGTTGTTGCTGTGACTGCTGCTGCTGTTGCTGTTGTTGTTGCACAGAACTGTTCGCTGAGGTACATTTTGATCGTGAAACGTGTGTTATTTGTGAGTGCGGAGAACTTTGCAGAGAAGCTGACATGGAGGAGTTATCAGAACTCTCCACGTGGTGTCGTGACCTAGTGTTCGATGCTACTGATTTCGATGTTTTGGGTGATTTAGTTGGCCACTGAGTCGATGGAATTGGACAGGATGTAGTCACCTACACGTATAAATTTAAATCTGAATTACACTATTGATATTTAAATTTTCAACAAATAAGAAGTTTCGATACAGAAGAGATACGGAAAATGTACTTAAATATTGTTGTTGTTCCATAGTAATTGAACTACTCAAATTGATAGTAAATTTTATATTATTTACTGATAATTTAATATTTATGGGTATATTACTAATTACTATTTACAGTTTTGTTTATTTAACAATTGTGAGTATTTTCGATGATATACTAAATTTAAAAGTCAAAAACGATATGTAATACATGAGAGGAATTTATAAAGAGCTGGTCTCGTTTTTCGTAATAATCAACGTATTTTATTAAACATTCAATTCTATAAGATAAATAAGTACGGCTATTAAATTAAACAAATGCAAACTACTATTTTTAAATCTAGCTTACTTAAAAAATTCAATGTATTGTGTATTATGGTATGCAATCTGAAATACTTCTTATGTCCTATATATTTTAATTTTTAGAAATAAACAATTATTATTTTTGCAATAAGAATTTACCTGCTGTTGCTTCACCGGCAGCAGAACATCCTGACTCTGTTCCTTGTTGAAACCATCCGATTCCTTACGCAATTCTTTGATCACATCAACATAACTAACAACATAATGCGTACACACAATAAATTCTGGTTTAGAATTCCATTGATTATATGTGATATAAAATCTAGTCTGCAACCATATCCATTGTTGTCCCTTCGTAAGGAATCTATAGTAGCAGGAGGTTCCCTCGCCCTTTTGCATCACTGTAAATGAAGCTTTCATGATGTGAAATTTGCAAGTATTCTACCATTTTTATACAATGTTTATGTAACATTCGATACTTACACGATTCGTGACAAGTGACCACCTTGTCCAAATCGTCTACGTGATAATAATCATACCCAGACGTGCCCAAAACCTCAAAAGGTAAATATCCGATAATGGGCGGCGCTCGATGGTCCAAAAACAAGAATTTCCACTCAAGACTATGCCGAGACGTGAACTCCGATTTTGTGTTATCCATCACGGACAACTCTCGAATCAGCTGAGGTGTCTGAAGGCGTCCTGTACCCACGAAAACTAATCTAAGAGAACATTAACAAGTTCACTGTAACAAAATTTATTGACAACGTAGACGATTCAATTACGAATATTTGTTTTACTATACACAGGGTTCATTATTGATGGGAATTTATCTAACAGTGGATTTTATACTAAACAAAACAAATATTGCTAGTGTTATTTAATTTTATTCTTCTTGTTTTGTTTACCTTGCGTATTGTTTTCGTTTTATTAAAAAGAAAATGTACATACGATGTTTGCAAAGTATGAATTACGTGTGATTTGAGATTGGTGAATTTAAAGTAAAGATTAATCGCTTTGAATAGTTGTTATAAAGATTTAGGTAGATAAATAAAATATTATACATAAGATTAAATAAGTAATGTGTTTACACAAGCTTTTTACTTTTCTTTAATTTTGAATTTTACAGTAAAAAAACACTCATCAATAATGAAATATTGAAACAGTAAATAAATAAACATATATGTATATTTATTCTTATCCGCAAAAGAATTACTTCGTATCTATTCCAGTAATGTTTCCGAACTTTGTATTTGGAAGTAAATTGTCTACTTCTGTATCAACTCCAGAACCTACAAATACAGTACAAATTTCTATAAATGTATTTACACTATTAAGGTAATAACAGTATCTGAAATATGGTAATTACATACGAAAGTATCCAATAAATTGTACAAGTTCATATATTGGATTCTCTTGAACATTTAAACCTCCCCGTTTAATGTGACACGAGAAAGATATTTGGTCCTCTGTAAACGCATATAAGAATAATATTTATAATAATGTGATCTTATAAAAATTTATTTGTTAAAGAAATGTACCTTTTTTAATATTTCGCTGATCTTTCGTACTGGCAGGGTTCAATAGTACATTATAAAGGGGAGATTGGTCCTCCTGATAAGTGATATCGTAGATGGTCGTGTTCTCCAGCTCATTTGGAAGATAGCCGAGCAAAGACGTGACGCTTTCAGACACATAATATATGCGCCCGCTTGAAGAAAATACCATTATAAAACCGTCCAGAGCCTACATTGAAGAAACGTCGCTTGTGTTTTTATCAGTAAAAACTTCAATGAACGTGACATTGAAATTCGCGCCAACTTGATTGTAATATATACAGAAATTTCCTTATAAGCTTAAAATCTTCTCGAGATCGAATAAAAAAATTATTAATTTATATGTAAACTTTCATTGTACTTTCATTTTTCCACTAGAATATTAACAATGAGTTCATGTATGTAAACGTTATAAATCTAAAAATCTTCTGGTTTAATTTCTCCAAATCCAAAGAGTTCTTCAAATTAATGAATTCTTATGTTTTGGTTTATTCTTGTGGAGAACAATAGTAACTTATTGTTAGTATGACTTAGTTACTATACTTAAACAATGTACTTTCTTAAGTATTTATTTGATTATTATACAGATTTTTTATTTAACTAATTGAAGAATATATGACCCGTAATAAGCAATTTTAAACATGTGTACATAAAAACATAAGAGATTAGTTAATTTAAACCAAGTACCGTCAGTCATTGACAATTGATAAAGACATGCAAGCATTATTCTCGAGGTGGAATAATTAAAAAAAAAACGATCTCAAACTTATTGTCAGCAGCGATATTGTTTTACACCGACGTCTAAACACGTAATAAGAAATTATAAAAACCATACCTCTAGTATAAGATGCGTAAATTCCTCATTTGATAGAAACGATGGTTTCCAATCTTCTTGAATTTCATGCACCCTTGATCTAACAGCTATTTCTATGACATTCGTAAGCTCGAAATTAATAATAGCTGGTAATAACAATTAATAATCAACTGAAAATTAATATCAGTTTACGTAGATTATTCATACTCTCAAGGAACATACCGTTGTGATTTTTCAGAAATAAAATTGTTGACTTCAACACGGTCGATTTGTCCATTTTCCTCGTGTTTGAGCTGACCATGCTACCCAGCTCGTTCACAAGCATGTTGAACTGATCTCGTCGTTTTTTCTCACTTAGATTACGCGACTTCCTGAAGGACAGAAGTTTCACAGTTAGTTCAACCTTTTAAAAGATGTTCTACGAAGAAATGATTCTAATTGAGTGCTCACCGCTTCGTGTCATCCTTGTCGTCAACGTCATCGTCCATCGTGTCACTGAACAGAAAGCTTGTAAGTTAATTACAGACCGGAAAATTAATAAATTAGTGCACGATATTAAAAATATCGCATAAATTTGTAAAGTGATGAAATGGATTTTTATGTATTCCGATACGTATTATTAAATACATTCTTACATGTATTGTATACCTATTGAAACTAACAACTGATAATTTTGATCTAATATCTGGGCACTGAACACCTAAGTTGACTGCATTTAAGTGCTCATTAAATATATATGTATATTTAATGTTCACCAAATTACGTTATATTTATTTCATATCAATTTATTTTATACATATACGTATATTTTCTATATGAAAGTTACATCTTTCAAAGTAAAAATTAACAAAATATTAGACTTTATTTGATATATAAAATGTATATTAAATCAAATTATTCTTGAAATCAGATGCTAGCAAAAGAACAACAAAATATTAATAGTTGTTACTATTATTTTTCATACACTTCTATATACGCCACATTTTTTTCTTCATTTTCTACCGAGTATGTGAAATGCATATTTAGTAAAAAATTGGCTGCTATAGTGAAACAAAAAGAATAATCGAATTTAATAAATTTGGAAATATTCACGATTGTACTTAAGGTAATTAAATTTACCACTTTTTTATTACAGAGGAAAGCAAATGAAAACAAATTAGACAATAGTAAACTATTAATTAATATAACATTTTTGCACATGTTTTCTCAAATAATAAACATCCTTTAAACATCCTTTCTTACCAAAATAAACAGGGGACATTATTATTCAATGAAAGTTTGTCTTTTACAATCACATACGTCATACGAGATTAAAAGTAAGCTACATTAATTCTATTAAAAATTTCTGAGGAAAAAATTTAAGTAATCTTAGTTTACATAATTTATGCAATCGTAAGAAATAGTGAAAAAAATGTCATCGTTTAGCACGACCATTTTTTAAACACATTTCTTTATTTTATTTCATATGAGATACATCTCCTGTTAATATAGCCAAGTAATACGTAAAACTGCTCATGATTTTTTCCCTCGACACAGGGAAACACGTGCGTTACAATCAAATCAATATCACGGACCGCCTATTGTGTAACTGGTTTGGCAATCAATATTGCTTGGGATAATGGTGTTCCGCAAGATTACCGAAAGAAATCTCGTGCGTCACTGAGTATTTTAAAACGCAATTTTTTTTACATTATATTATTCAATCAATATTCTCAAATCATTAATTATTTACGAAAAAAAGTTATCAAAAAAGCAGTAAAAAGCAGGAAAATAAATGTTAACTATCATATATCCAGCATTTAAATTTTATTACACGGACAGTTCGAAATAACGCGACGTCATAAAATATAATTCAATTTCATCAAACCTACTCCTCAAGTGCATCTATCATTACGCTGCAACGCGTGCTACTTCGCTATCGTTAAACGTTCGTCAGCGATCGCCTGACTAGCGCAAAATTCCAACCTCAACCTTATCGATTGCATAAATCGCGGCGTAATCGACCATAATCGGCGGGCAGGAGCGTCGATCCAAGGCGGTCGCGTGCCGTACGCGTCGTTAACATCATCGCGGTACGATAACAGCGGGAAGATCCACTGTTCGTAAACATCGAATCGCAGTATTAATCGATGAAAAGTTTAACGAGCACAGTAGATTGTGACAGTTGTAGTTATACACTCAGGCAGTTCGTAACTGCTAGTGAAATGAAACGAACAACGTCAAATTATAGACAACAACTTCATAGTGACAACCGAACAATCAATCGACTAGGTATTTCAATAATTGAGCGAATTATTCGAGAAAAGTAATATCGAAAGTGGAGGATCGAGAAACGAGGTGTGCACGTTGAATCATTCTAGACTGAGAGACGCGTTTTAAAGCCGGACAAATCGCGTGTCACTCACTCGGATTGCCGAGACGATCGTCCTCGTGAATAACTAGCCATGTAACTTCGTTCACGTATGTTGTCACAAGTGTTGTATGTGCGTGTTGTACAGAGGCACGTCGTCGATCAGTGGTCTCAGATCGAGCGATCCTCGCTCTCTCGAAGCTTTCTCTGCTGACTGCTGTTCGTCGACCATGTAGAATTCACTAGTTCGGAATGCCACTTCTGCAGCCAGCATCGACACATTTTTCACCACACGGTTGTAAACACAAGTCTTCGATCGGTTGCGCGCCAGCAAATCCGTAGACGTCGCCTCCAACGGTCGGTAGTCAGCTTACGTGCATCTACGTGCATGCAACGCTTACGTACTACTTTGCAATGGAAGGTCCCGCTGCACTGTCTGAAGTTGCATGCGCTCTGTTCCATACGGCCGTAGATGCGAGAGCGCGGCCGCGAACTCCAGATAGAAGAACGCATGCTCAAATTCGAAGATAGAAATGTCATAGAGATACCGAGCTCTCAATTCTGACGGTGTCGTTTACACGCTCGATGAATTACTTCATTCTTGTTCGTAATTGTTATTTATGTTCTTTTATTGTTTTTATTGTGGTATGTATTATGAATAAGGGTAAGCACCTTTTGTATAGATTATTCTTCTATTTTCAATGGATTCATTGAAGATCAGATAATACTGTAACTAAACTCGGTACGTGATGATATTTCGTTAAGAGATAGAGTTGATTTTTTAAATAGTATTTTGTATATATTTTATTATAATTTTACATATGTATATTTATGTATAAATTCGAAATGGTTTAAAATTTAACTTAAGAGGATCATTTTTATAAGTGATTTATAATTCACTATGTAACATTTTCATTTATCTTGTAATAATTACAAATTTATCTTAATTTATTACATGTGTTTATTCTTTGTTAGATTCAAAATAAAATAAGAGGTACTTACCTTGTGATGGCTAAAGTATTATGTTGATACCATAACCACATAAATTAAATTTTTCAGTACAAGGAAATGTATAAAAGAAAAGCTTGCATAAGTTGTGCAAAACTTTATTTCATACTTATTTTATTAATACTGATAAAAAATAAATAAAAGTATGTTAAACTAAATTTAAATCTTTGTCTTTAAAGAAATATATTTTCTATTAATTGGACTTTTTCTTTGTTTTTAAGTACTTTGCAACTTATTGTAATTAATGTTTCATTAATAAAATTTAATAGAGTCACTGAAGAAGATTTTTGTGGCAATAACATTTGATAGTTATTGCATAAAGCTGAAATCACTTGGAAAACATACTGTGTACGTTAAGGAACAGATGTAATACATTATAATATGAGAAATTGAGTAGAGACAAAATTGATGATTCCATCTGGTTTAGGCTCATTATCAGTTGATGAAACTTTCTCATTGGAGTGTTTGATACACAATAGAACTTTTATTACTCAAATTGATCAGAAGATTATGAACTTTAAATCACTCATTTCTTAAACAATTTCAGAAAATGTAAATTAGACATTAGTAATTTGTCTAATAAAACATAAAATTTTTTCTTATTGAATTTTAAACATTTAGTAATATTAAACATTCCAAATAAAAAAATAAGAGGGAAAAGTATTACTTTTCTGAATGACGTTTTATTAACTTCCATTAATATAAATTCACATACCTATCCATATAAATTTAAATTATTTTAATTTTAGTTTGTGATATTTAATTGTATACAAGATTTACATTTTACACAAAACTCCTACTATATTTTTATGCTATACTGTAACCACTTAAAATAGGGAGTAGAATGTATCTTCTCATTACATTAATGAAGAAATTATGAATAAATGTACTTCATTCACAGTTATATGAATGAATTTAATTTTAAGTATTTAGCAGTTGTCATTGTCAATTTCTTTGCTGGTATGATATTCCAAATTTCCTAACAAATTCTTTATAATTGACACACAAAACGTATTCTTTGAATTTAAACATGAAAATGTATACTTGTAAATATAACAAATTATCTATATAAGATATATTATTAAAACAAATTTTATTACATGCATTAAATTGTTACACATGAATCATTCTGTTGTACCATCCAAAATTCGTCAGTTGTTGTAAAACGTAGAGTTCTACGTTTATTCAATACTACCTTATCCATTTATAAAGAGAATTGAAAATCTGACGTAAGGAAAAGTGGAACAATATTAATCCTAAATATTTAGTAAAAGTTGTTTTCAATATACTACAGCAATTGAAAAATATCATTAAACATCATAGTATTAAGTACTAAACATAATGTATTTAGTGAAAGAAACATACAAGGAATGTTAATTTTTATAAGAAGTCCAAAATAATTGTGCTTTATAATATAGCTTGAAAGGACTTTCACGGCTATTAACATTAGGTATTCTATGCATTCCTTTTTGTAAGTTCTATAGGTTACCATTAATTTTTGTTTGTACATCTCTATAATCTCCTTTCATCCATCAGTTAATGACTACTTAGAAAAGTTCAATGAACTTAACAGAGAATATTTCTTATGCGTAAAGAATTGACTAAAAAATAAAAAATCCTTATATGATTGCAAGATGTATACATTCATTTATTAGTTGCCTATATAACTGCAGAGAACCTAACGAATGGCATTGTGAACATGCACTGTAGCATGTGTTCAAAACCAGTGTACTTAAGTTCTTACATCATACATTATTCAGCTCATGTAAATTCACGATTCTCCTGAATGCTTTCTGCTGCCATATTATGTGCACAAATGAAAAGAAATTTGAACTTACCTCAATGCTCGCTAGCTGATAGACGAAATAAATCATAAAGTCGCATAAAAAAATTGAAGGTAACCTTAGATACTCACGGAAGAAGAAAGATACATAAAATGTCTAATATTATTACTGTAAAGGCTTTTTTGAATCGCAACATTCAAGATAAAAAATATTACAATCATTACACTAGAA